GACTATGGCACTAGGTGGAAGAGGGTATACCTCAGTGGTAGAGCACGTGCTTAGCATGCACGGAGTCCTAGGTTCAATCCCTAGTACCCCCACTAAAAAATAAATAAATAAAAATTTAAAATAATAATAAAAATAGAATATAGCTCTAGTGTTATCTTTACATGCTAAATGCACTTTTGTCTTATCTTCAAGGAAAAGTGTTTATTTGCCACTGACCATAACAGTGCCTTTGAGAAAATTCTTTTTAGCACAACTGTAGAATGTCTTTCCCTGGGGGCTTAGCATTTGGAAACAAACCCAGTGACAGTTCAGCACAGGTCAAGAGTGTCTACCCATCACCCTGAGGGCTGACCAGTGTTTTTATTTTAGGAAATAAATCCTTTGAGGCACATACATGTTTGTAACAGCATCTGATGCTAGAATTTTTTTTTTGTATACTTCAGAAATATTTCAAATTTCTTACTTTTTCCTCCCCTCCCTTCCCAAGGGCTAAAAACTTATTTATGGAATTTTGAGGATTTTGAGTCAGCGTTCAGTGTGTCTCTGTTTTCCTTTTGGTGAGGGAGAAGGGCATGTCATGTGGTCTCAGAAAAACTCGAGTAGCTCCAGGGCACATTGAGATGGAAAACAGCTCTGGTAGTGTTCTTCAGGACTGTCGGTGGACAGAGACGTTGGTCTTTTTTTTTTTTTTTTCATTCCTTTATATAGTGTTTCCTTTATATGACCCTTCACCCTACTGACCGTGTCAGGGTAATATTTGCACTGACTCCTACTAGAGTTAGTAAAGGTTCTGTAGAGGGGATGGGAAGAGGTCCCTGGGACTTGTGCCTTGCATAAAATGGGTTCACAAACCAGATTTCCTTGTGTAGAGTAGAATCTTTCATCTCTGGCATAGTCTTGGCATTGCATATCCCTTCTCCCCTTGTGCATAAAGTTAAAGTCACTTCTGAAATAGTTTCCACATTTACTTTTGGAGAATTTGTGACATCACTTAGGAGTGGTTTTCAAGAGAACCAGAGACCCACCTAGAACAGGGGCTGTGTTGATGACTTTATAACATGACCAGCTTTCGCTGGACTTGCTCTCTTGTTTCCGACTGTAGGTGAGATCGCCATTCTGGGGGGTGTAGGAAAGGAGAATGAAAAACTGTGGAGCTTTGCCAAGAAGGCCTCACACATCCAGCTGGACAGGTAAAAATAATTATCATCTCTTGGGCTTAAACTGTCTGCTTTTCTTTTTCTTTCTTTTCTCCTCTGTTAAAAATTCTGATTAAGAGAGATAGAAAGAATATATTTTTCAAGGTTTCCCTGCTCATTACCAGTATCATTAGTATGAAATAGTGGTGGTGGTAATCTTTGGTATAGAATTACTGCAGGTTTTCTTCAATCCTTATGTGTAAGAAAATGGTTACATTTTTAAAATTCTGAACATATCATCAAAACTGAGTCACAGCTCAGTAAACCAGATCTTTTGGTATAAAGTTGACAATTGCTGTCCCACCAATTTTCTCTTATTTATTTGGGAGGAGAATCTTTACGTAGCATCTTGCACAGCCCCCACTTCCATTAGCATTGTTGCATCATTATAGTGTGACTGATCTAAAATATTCCTTGTTTTTTTGTAAGTGTTTTTTAAAGAGTGTATTGAAAAACAAAGCTCTTCAGCAAAGTTACCAGCAACAAAACTTAAAGTGTTCTAAAAGAATACTGAATGTGATTAAGATGTCTTCTAGTTTCAACCACAAAACTCTTTAAAGATTTTAGTGACAATATATTAAAGCAGTCAGAATCAGATTGTACTGTTAGACATTCCTTAGTCTTATGGCCCAGATCAAAGTTTTTGAAAATGGTGCATTTCTGTTTTTAAATATAGGAGAAGTCAAAGCAAAGTAATTCATTAAGAAATAGAGAAAAACATTTTTTGGCAGTGCATTCATGGCATTGCTGTATATCCCTACAGATCTTAAGAATGAAAGACAGGAATGTATGTGGCACTGTCACTCCATTTTGATTGCTAAAAACAAACAAACAAACAAACAAGGCAACACAACTAGGATGAGGCATTTTCACCTGTTAACACAGCCTGGGATCTGTGGATAAAAATAAATGTGACAGGTATCTTTTAACAAGTATACCAGAAATTAGATATCCACGTGAGTGTTGTTGCTTTCAAAATAATCAACCTCTTGAGTTATAAATTTACATAAAGCCCGTCACTATATACTGAACATATTTTGTCTTCTAGAAAAGCAGTATTTTTAGTCTTTTTCCCTAACCTTGTTATGTTTTTTTTAATTGAGGTATACTTGATATACACTATTATATACGTTTCAGGTGTACAACATAGTGATTCAGAATTTTTAAAGGTTAGACTCCCTTTTTTTTTTTATTGAAGTATAGTCAGTTTACAATGTTGTGTCAATTTCTGGTGTACAGCACACTGCTTCAGTCATACATGAACATACATATATTCATTTTCATATTCTTTTCACTGTAAGCTACTACAAGATATTGAATGTATTTCCCTGTGCTATACAGTATAAACCTGTTTATCTGTTTTATATATACCAGTCAGTATCTGCAAACCTCAAACTCCCAGTTTATCCCTTCTCACCCTCCTCCCCCCTCCCTTGTATTTTTAACTCTCCGTTAAAAGCCTCATAAGCACGAGAGCTTTGTTTCCTCAGCTTACCAGAAGTGCCTTTGCTGGTTGATGTGCCTTGTTTATCTGCTCAGTTGGATGACTCAATTCTTAACATAGTGAAGGACCACATTTTCAAGCATGGAACGGTAGCATCTCGCCCACCGGTGCAGATAGAAGAATTGATAGAGAAACCCGGAGGCATCATCGTGCGATGGTGTAAGGTATGCAATTCAGAATCGTAGAAGTGGCTTCAACGGGATGGGTTTGAGATTTGGGGCCCCACATGATTATGTTTTTATTAATTTCCTTTGAATATCTTCTTCTCTTCATAAATGAAACTTCCTTTTGCTTTACAACTAGTCATGGGAAACTTGAACTGAGGTAGCGCTTCCAGTTTTGAGATAAACAGTTTTGAAGGTACTTATAAAAATCTGTCTGTCAGAATGTGGTTTCCCACCACATATTTCCCAAACTTAACTCTTGGTGAGATGAGGATCGCCCCCATTTCTGTGTGTTAGTAAAGTCAGAACGTTGTCGTGAATATTGGGTGTCTGATATTTTTCTGTTCAATTCTGAATTGATACCTCTGAACTAAAATTCCTAAAGTGTGATCTTTTTTTTTTGCACTCTCAGCATTGCCAACAATTTTGTGTATTCAATTGTATTATGTATGTAAGTTACCGTAGTTTAGATAGAATCCATGTCCAAATGAGTCTAGTGTCTTGGCTCTTGACAGATACATTGTTCACAGGTGGGTAGTCAGCTTCTGGGAACTATTTTCTTAAATGGGATAAATGGGATTTTTAAAAAACGCAGCCTTGGTATAGAAGAAAGAAGAAGAGATGCTTTTGAAGACTCATTCCATTTCCATTCCTTTGCCTACCAATGGACCTACAGTTTTCAGGGTTTTTTGTTGTTGTTGTTGTTTTTTCACTATAAGCATTATTATTCATGTTTCCTTGTATACACATTTAAGATTTTTTTCTAAAGTATGTACCTAGGGGAGGGTACAGCTCAGTGGCAGAGTGCTTGCCTAGCATGCATGAGGTCCTGGGTTCAATTCCTGGTACCTCCATTAAAGATAAATAAATAAAAACCTAATTACCACCCCCCAAAATAAAGAAGTAAATAAAAAATAAAAAATAAAGTATATACCTAGCTATGAAATTATGAAGTCCTAAGAGTATTGGATCTATACTCTGCTGGGAAATACCAAACACTTCCCAGAGTGGTCGTACCAGAGCACCTTCTCCCGGCAGTGTGTGAGTTCCTCTTACTCTGCATCCTGACCAATGCTTGTTGGCGTTGTCAGAATTTGTTTTTGCCGATACAGTATCTCGTTGTGGATTTATTTTTAAATTGGATTTTCCATCCCATAAATTAAGTTGAATAATTTCGTTTATTTTTGGCTGCCTGTGTATCTTATTCTATAGAACACTTATTTGTGTCTCTTGCCCACTTTCCTATTGGGTGGTTTGTCTTTTATTAATTTTTTCTTTTTTACTTTTCAATTGAAGTGTAGTCAGTTACAATATGTTAATTTCTGGTGTACAACATAGTAGTTCAGTTATGCATACATACATATATATTCCTTTTTATATTCTTTTTCATCATAGGCTATAACAAGATACTGAATACAGTTCACTGTGCTATCCAGTAGGACCTTGTTGTTTACGTATTTTACATATAGTAGTTAGTGTCTGCAAATCCCAAATTCCCAAATTATCCCTCCACCCCACCATCTTCTATTAATTTTTAGGCGTCCTTTGTATGTTATAGATGTTAATAAACTCTCTCAGTTGTATGAATGATGTAGCTGTGGGATACTTATGTTTGAATTTTGAATGTCTTATCTTTGGCATAATTGTGTAGAAAACATGCCATTTCTTCAAAGGAGATAGACTTTTTCTTTTCAGACTGGGATTATAAAACACATGGCTCAATTAGGAAAAGAAGGGAAGTAATGGTGGCGTTTTTCCTATGACCTTCCTGAGGACAGCCCGTACGCAGCACGTGCACCTGTACACTTGGCCGCACGTGCCCCCATTCAAAGTCCTTAAGTAGTGATGTTGAGGGAAGTTACTCTCTGACTTTTACCTAACATAAAGCCTTTCTCCTCAGGTAGATGACGACTTTACAGCCCAAGATTACAGGCTCCAGTTCCGTAAATGTACTTCAAATCATTTTGAGGACGTGTATGTGGGCTCCGAAACTGAGTTCATAGTGTTGCACATAGACCCCAACGTGGATTACCAGTTCAGAGTCTGCGCCCGAGGAGACGGCCGGCAGGAGTGGAGTCCTTGGAGCGTCCCCCAGACAGGTCACTCCACGCTGGTGCCTCATGGTACGCTGTTGCCTTCGCACTCCTGAAGCTTACCTGTATAAGAACACTTGTATTCTGCGCTATAGGCAGCACCTGGACAGCCCTTTTTCCTAAGGATCAACCATGAATTGATGAGAATAACATGAAATATGTCTTTCACGTCCTGTTCAGATTCCTTTGTGTGAATTCTGAGACATTTGCATCAGTTCTTAGCTCAAGAGTCCCAAAATGATGCCAGAGAGGATTATAAGCATTGATTATAAGCATTCCCTAAAACCAAAAAGATTATAAGTATTGCACTAGAAGACTGCAATATTTGACCGAAACTTGCAATGTATATCTTGGTCAAGGCTTTTTTTTGTCCCCTCTTCTCTTAGTGACTTAATAACCAGAAAAATATCAACAAATAGAGAGAAATAAGGAGTCTAGTACCTAATGTTTACTTATGATTAGAAATTGATCTCTCCTATATTTTTAAAAAGATTTAGACTCATTTGTTACTTAGTACTTAATCAGGTTGGAGTCAGCTCCAACGTGATTTTATTAGGTAGGAGGTAACCCTTCTTTGATCTTCCTTGCCAAACGTGCAGGAAGAGACTAAAATCTTCTTTGTGATTTGCAGGATTAACCATGACACTCTGTCACTGAATATTTTCCTTTATTGAACTTGCTCATGACCCCTAAGTGTAGCGTCTTTGACTTCCAAGTTTTATTTTAATGTGTCTGTATTGAAGGTATTCCACCAAAAGGGTCTAACAATTTTCAATATCCTTACTTTTTAAAAAGAGTGGACAGCTGGCTTTGAGGGGTACAGTCTGAGCAGTCGGAGAAATATAGCGCTCCGGAATGACGCCGAATCCTCCGGTGTTCTCTACTCCAGCGCCCCAACGTACTTCTGTGGGCAGACGTTAACATTCAGGCAAGTGCATATTAACAGATCAGTCTGTCACGCCTGAGGCAGCATAGTGAAGTGCACAGAGCGTACGTGAGCCTCGGATCCAAGCAGTCCTCAGTTTATTCCATCATTTCTGGGCAGTGCTACCTTGGGGAGATTGCCTTATTTCTCTTGGCTTCACTTTTCTCATATGTATTCATAGTGTTATTATGAGCATGGACTGAGAAATGTGTATAAAATGCTTCGCCTCTGCCTGGTACCTAGTATGTACTCACTATGTTTAGGTCTTCTTCTTGGTAAATAGATTACTGGTCGGAAGTCAATCTTAAAAATTCAGCGTTCCACCCTCCTCCTAGTTTTTTTTTTTCCCTTGGTGAATCAGTAGACCAGGTGTCAATGAGAAACATCCTATCAGTGTAAACATACTATATGTGTATATATAATTCTCTCTAAAATAAAACTGAAAGCAAGCCTCCCCTACCACCAGTTATCTTTCTGTTAACTATTAGAAAATTTTCCTTTTTTTGTTTTGTTTTTGTTTTTGTTTTCGTGTTGTCTGATACATATTCTCTATCTATGGTTATGTCACTAAATAGCTCTTCCTAGAAACGAAAGCCCAGTTTTGATTTGGAAAAGTAAAGCTTGCCATTCTCACCTCAGTGGAGCAAACTCTCCTCTGATTTTTAAGTCGTGAGATCATGGGATTTTATTGTGAATGCTTGCTCCATGTTCCTCTTGTTCTCAGTCCCTTATCGTATAAGGCATGGAGAGTATCTGGAAGTGTTTTCTGAGCTAATGTTGCCATGTTCTCCACCAGCCAAGTCATGTGAACTGTCAGCATGGTCAGAAGGCACTAGTTTACGCTCTGTCTCATTTTTAACACCTCCTCCCACCCCTTACGTAATGAAGAAAGAATGACTTAATAACCAGAAAAATATCAACAAATAGAGAGAAATAAGGAGTCTAGTACCTAATGTTTACTTAATTATTCCCCGGGTAATCATGAGTTTTCTGTGTGAACGCACCCCTTCCCTGCTTCTGTCTCTTGTTTATAGAGATACTCCCATTAGTGCACCTCCTGAGGACAGGGTGCTTCTGCGTCACAATAGGGCTTCTTGAGTTAATAGATTCAGGCCAGATATCACACCATAATAAGAATAGTAATCATAGTAATAATAATTGCAGTTAATGTTTAAATTTTGTTTACTGTTACTTGCAGTTAATGTTTGAATTGCACGTGCTTTGTGCCAGGTAACATCCTAAAATGCACTTTCCTTACTTAACTCACTTGAGTCTCCCAGTAACCCAATGAAATAGGTGTAGTTACCCATTTTAGGGATGAGGATACGGAGGCAAAGAGAAGTGAAGTCATTTACCCAGTGTCACATATTTAGTAAATGGTAAAGCTAAGATTTAAAACCCAGGCAGTCTCTCTCCAGTGATTTTAATCACAGGGTCTATATTGCTTTTTTTTAATTTGGTTTTAATTTTTTAAATTGACGTATACTCAGTTTACAATGTTGAGTCAACCATACTGCTTCTTGTTTGTCATTTTCCTGGGGGAGGTAACGTGACTGTAGTTAATGTGGAAATGGACGCTTTCTCTGCTGCTGTATCCTCAGCCCTTTTCCTTTTCCCTCTTCTGTGACTTTTATGCATCAGTGATGGTGAACTGATGCTCCTCTACTTTTAATTCTTCCTCTGTGAACACAGGGTCTGATAGATGACTGACTTAGGCTTGTTTCTTGAGTCACTCAGTAGCTGTTTATTGATTACGACATTGGAAATTACACAAGTTGATTTACATCCACGTACTGTCTGTGGACTGTGGCCTGACGCTTAGTCGGCCTGAATAAACCATTAGTTCCTCCCTCCTCCTCCAGAAATGCCTGACGGGGCCCCACTTGGCAGGGTGATTAACTGAAACTTGGTTAAGCTCAGTATTATCTTAGCCAGACCTTTGCATTTTTGTCATTTTTCCTTTGAATGTGGAATGAAAATGTTTTCTTCCCTTGTATAAAGGAATTTCAGACATCAGCAGCTAAGGTGTGACTGGTGGTGGGGGGACACCTTCATGCACGAGGCAGGGGCAGATGGGTCCACTTGATTAAAGGTAAACTTTATTCAGCTTTTTGAGGGTGTGTGAGGGCCTCCTAGTCACAAGGGAGATTATACTCCTGCCTGTTGTTCAGCCCAGTCTATCTCTGCTGAAGTTTCTGGAATGCTTAGAGCTGCTGACGCCAGAGAAGCCTGTTACTGGCTGGCTCTTAATAGTCTCTGAGCCCAGTCTCGTGTGGTGCCCAGGTCTGCTAGCAGCCTCCCACTCCGGGCCTCCCTCTCCCTGCTTTCATGTCTGAACATTCCTGCCTTCCTCCCCTTTCCTCGCTTCTGAGATTTCCCGATCTTACTGTTTTTTAAACCATATTTTTACCTTCTCTTCTCTGCCACCTCCTTTCTTTAAAACAGCTTCCCTTCTAACAGCCTTCCTTAATCCTGGCAGCCTGGGAGGGTCCTGCCTGCCTTCTGCACATGAGGAAACCAAAGCGCAGAGACAGTCGCTGGCGTGTCGGTATTCAGACTCCGGCCATCTAGCCCTGCAGTCTGCGTTCTTAAGCACCGTGCTGCCCTGCCTTTCCCAAGTAACATGAGGCGGGAAACCATGGGGCAGTAGGCTAGCTATTTGATATCACTAACTTTTTCCTCCCAAGAATATAAAAAAGTAATATTCCAGTTACCTGTTGTTGGGTAGCAAACCGTCCCCAAACTCAGAGGCTTAAAACAACCCCGGTTATTTATTTAACTCAGGAAGCTGCCATTTGCAGAGACTGGCGAGGGCAGCTCATCTCTGCTTATGTGGTGTTACTGGGGAAGTTTGACTAGGGGTGGTGGGTCTGTTCCCAAGATGACTCACTCGCACAACTGGCAGGTTGATTCTGGTCCTTGGTACCCCACGGGCTGCCTGGGCTTCCTCACAGCATGGTGGCCGGGTTCCAAGAATAAGCATCCCAAGAGATAGGAAGTGGAAGCTCCAGTTTCTTAAAGTCTAAGCCTGGAAACTGACATTGTGTCATTTCTACCATGTTCTGTTGCTCAACCAGTCACAGTCCAGATCCCAGGGAGGAACATACACCCTACTTCTTGATGAGAGAAGTATCCAAGAATTTGGAGGCTTTATCTGAGAAGTGTCATGGTTGGTAGCTGTTAGAGGGGTTCTTGGAATATGTGAATTAAGTTTAATGCTTGCTCTTGGTGAAGCATTCACATTGAGTGAATGTAAGCTTGAGATCTTTCTTTCCTACACACAATTGGTCTCCATCATTACCAGCTGTATCTTCCATACCAATTACTAGCTTCTCATTTTTAAAAAACAAACTCAGTCTAATTTGATCTTTTCTCAAAAATCCCACCAGGGCATAGTCTCAGCTAGGGTTAAGAAGTTAATTTGTTTGTGACTAGGGTCTTTGAAACCTTATCCGTTTCTCCTTATATTGAGACAGATTGTGCTGTCCCAGGGAGAGTACAGCTTGGCGGGAGCTTTGTATTTGCCACTCCCCTCTCTGTAGTCCTTTCAGGTTGAAGCTTGGCTCTTATTACAGGTGTGGGACAATGTTGTCAGACAGACGTTTTCCCCCACAGACCCTTTATTACAGACTTGGGTGAGGTAAGACAGCTGGTTTGTAAGTAGATCTCCTTTAAGATTCTATAGTGTATCTTTTGGTTTGTTTTTAGAGATGGAGGAGAAAAGTGACAAAGAATAGCAAGTAATGAGTCTGAACGGGGCTAACAGAGACAGGCGTAGAGTCAGAGAGAACCCCAGAAAAGTAGGATTTTGTTGTGGACAGGCTGTGTATATTTCTTCTTTAATTCTTCAAAGAATTGCCCCCTCAGAGCTCACTTGTGCCCATTTGCAGGGAGGACACTTGATACCACATACAGAGCTCTTTTTCTTCTTTTTTTTTTTCGCAACGAAAGTCTTCACCGGGTAAAACCAAGTCAGATTTATGTTTCATAGTCTTGGGGGTCACGCTCTGCATTTCTCTTCATGAATTCATGAGTCGAGCTAGACTTATACAAAATAGGAAAAGCCAGCTAACCTTTGTTGAGCTCCACTGCGTATTAGTTCGAAAGCACTTAAATGAGTTGACGCCTATAAATCCTCATTACAACCTCATGAGGTAGACGCAGTTTATAGAGGAGGAAATTGAGATGTAAAAAGAGTAAGCAACTTGTAGAGATTGTTAATAGTGATGCGCTAAGATTCAAATCCTGACAGTCTAGCCCTGCAGGACTCTGCTGGAACTTGGAGTGAGATTGGAGGCCATTGGAGGGTATGGAGCGAATGAATGACGTGATCTGACATTTGTTTTACAAGTCATTTTGGCTGCTGGGTGGGAAGTAGTGTGTAGAGCCATACAGGTAAGGCAGGGAGAGGACCAGTTAGGAGGCTGGAGAGGAGGAGCTAAAGTATGGCCAGAAACAAGGAGAAACTGTATTCAGCATTCCAGTATTAGTATTCCTGACAGCTAATGTTGGCTTCGACCAGGACGGAGCGATGGAGGCAATGATAAGTGGTCAGAATCTGGATTTATTTTGAAAGAGGAACTTATGGGATTTACTGACAGGTTTGTTGTGGGGTACTGAGAAAGCTGAATTTTTGGACTGAGTAACTTAGGGTAGAAGTGTCATTTACTGAGGTGGGTAAGGTCTTACCAGGAGCATATTTCTGGGTGAATATCAGTTCTTCCACAAATTAATTTGAGTTCCTCACCAGATATGTAAGTGAAGATGTGGAGTAGACAGTCGGAGATACAAATCTGGAGCTCAGTGGAGAGGGTCAGCCTGGAGATAATTAATTTGAGGGTTTTTGGCATACAGATGAGTATTTAAAACCATGAGACTGGATGAGATCAGCCAGGGAATGGGTGTAGGTAGACAGCATTAGAGAACTCATAACATTCAGCATTTGGGGAGGAAAGAAAGTACCATCACAGGATTCTGTGGATGAGCAGCATGTGAGGTGGACA